AAATCCTTTGCCCCCTTGGGAAATTTGCCGACTGCTAGCCGTTCGCTGGGTTCAATCGTGTCGTAGATAAGAGCGCACGCGCGCTCGTCATTCTGGACCCAGTTGGAGTGGGCTTGAGGTTCGGAAGGTTGGTCAGGGCATAGGGAGGTTCCGGACATATATGCCCAGAGACCAGAGAGACACGCAGCTGGGTAGATCCCGTCCTTCCACTCCTCCCAGTTGCCTTTGAGCTTATCAAGCTTCTTGCCCGAGAAGAGGGTCGCGCTGCTGATGAGGGGAACGGACGGGCGTGTCGCGTCGGTTTCAAGAACGGTGGTTGACATGTTGCCAGAAGGTTTAGATTCGAGGCTGCCAGCGGTCATAGAGGATGGAAGAGTGTGGGTGTAGTGTGTCGCGCCTGTAAACGGCACGGGAGAACAAAGGGATCACCCTCGTGTCGAGCGCGCTGATAAGATAAGATCTGGAAGGATTCTACGCCGGCTCAAAGAGAACGGCAAAGGCCCATAACCTGTAGAAATCCGAACCTAGATAGACAAATAGGAAAGGGTCTCAGTCACCGAATACTTGGACTGTATTAAACATGGCTCTGTACCTAGATAGACAAATAGGAAAGGGTCTATGGTACTGTCAGCTAAAGTAAGTTATGAATGAAGATATAAGTGGCTCACCTCAGTCACCGAATACTTGGACTGAGGTGAGACCATCTATACTACCAGTGTATATATACATTCTAAACAGACAAAGAGAGGTAGGTGTTGCAAATGAGAGAAAGAGGAGGGGGCGCGACACATACGCGTCGTGATAAAGGGGGCAATGGTCCTTTGACCGATGGTGCGGTGTGATCTAAACAGTCAAGCTCATAACATAATCACCTTGTTTGCCCCATGGGATGCCCAATTCTTCACCAATCTTCAAGAAGAAACATGTCCCAGAATCGGAACGATCTTCTCTTCAAATTCCGACACCTCCGAGACGACCAATGTGACACCTTAGATAACATAAAAATCGAACTGCTTGCCACTTTTAAGGAGATCAAGGATATATATAATTAATCAGACAATGCAGAGACATTCTACTGACTACTTCTAAGTGTCATCAAAAAGTTCTATTGTGATTGGGTCAGTGTGGAAGGCAGAAGGTCTGAAATGAACCTCAAACAGACTGGTGAGGAGTGGTGATCACCATATTGCCTAGTTTGTCAAATGTGTTCACCCCAGAAACTGGAGGTAGTATCATAGCTCACAGGTCTGAGAGGGGACTTATACTCCAGTCTGAGGTAGAATCTTGGAGAGGGCAATTGAGAAGGCAGAAGGACAGTTGCATGAATAAAATATTCAGTTCTTATTCAGCTTGCATCGGACTTTTTCTATATCACTCTAACAGTAGTATAGTAAGTATTCCGAGCGATCCGATGAGATTTGGGGCACTAGAGGATATGCCAGAAGGATGCCATGTCCACCATCAACATTGTGGGAATCCCCCAGGCAAGAAGGAGGAAGTGTCTTTGGTCATGGAATTGGGGTGTTTCTACACAGTCTTGAAGGCAGAAAAAGAAGGGAGAGTGCTAGGATAGTGTTCAGATTATGTTGGAGTGACAGGAATAACCCCAGCTTTGCTTGAAGGGATATAAGAGTGCACATTTTCGATTTTTCTGGTATCTTGTGAAGTGTTGTAGGTATATCTTTGGAACAAATGAACACGTGGAGACGCTGAATAGCGCGTTTTGTAGCCTTTATCAACCTCTATCTGAACGCATAATGTTTTGGAAGGATAGATACATGTGTGGCATAGAGATTTGAGTGCGATTTTTCGGTTTTTTAGCACATAAACATCGAAAGGCCCATTGCATAACCAATAATGCATGCAAGTCCATTATTATTGGCTCGTTCTGAAGCTCTAGTGGCATACTAAATTATTGGCTAGTTTTTATGAGGCAGGGACGCATGAGAGGCAGAGCATTAGGTGCGCATTTTCGCATTTTTGTGTATAGAAGCACAGTTTAGGCCATAACATCGCCAAAAATGGCTGTATTCACATGTTCTGGGTGTCTACAGGTAGCTATGAATTCCCTCAAAATTATCGCGTCATCGCTCCCATCAATTTCCACCCGGGGGGAAGCCAAACGAGTCCAAAATGTGCCAGCAATGGCTATTTTGATGCCAGATCCCAATTTAGCAGCTTGTGCTAAAAATAAACACACGCCAAGTTAAGGTGACACCTCATACGCGCCGTTTCGCAACATTCCACATCCCAGATTCTCCTGATTTTTTTATGACATACAGTAGCATACTATCACATTGGCCCTGGGCACTTTTTTCACAAAAAACGGCCCTGGTTGAGGCTGCAGAGCAAACAGGTCACATGACCAGTTCTCTGCAGTGCCCCGGGGTCCTGCTTGGCCTATCCTGCCCCCATTCCACCCCCTCCTGCACCTCCCACCACCTGCCCACCCCGGAAATGGATGCTTACTAATTTATTTACCCCCTCCTCATCACCCTTGCAGATGCCAGGCACCCGGCAACCCCTCCCTCTTATTAGGAGAGCCTTCCCAAAGTGGAAGGTAGCATATTGCCCTCCAGGGCTTAAATTCATAGTTAGGAAACTGCCTTGTATTTCTATATTTTTCTAACTGATACAGGTGCCTGAGGTGCTTCACAGAGGTTGCAGTAGTAACGGCCATCTGCCTTGTAGTACTCGTCAGTGGTAAGCAGACTCAAATTTCTTCAGTGGTTCATCTTTGTCCTCAATCGCCGAGGATGTGGATATGCCATCCGATTTGAGGGTGAACCGTGCTGATGGAGGTGCAGGAGACATGCAATGAGACAAGCTTTCAGCAACTGTCATTGGTATTTTGAGGGGGCAGTATGTGAAAGAGGGGAGGGAAGGGTGTGTTCCATGTAGTTTCTGAGCATATGGCATGGCTCTGGTGTCAGCATTGGGAAGCGAGTCTCTTGTGAAGTGCGTTATGAAGCATGATGGGTAGAGGAAGGGATGTGGCATCGTTGTAAGTGCATGGTAGTGGGCACTATTGCCAAAGTCTTATCATTAATTGTACAGAATTCTGAACTAATGGGCATGCCTGGGAGTCAGGCAGGAGTCGGACACATCAAAATATCTTCCCCCGTCAGAGCAGTAGGCGCGTTCAATGAAATGAGCAGTTGCAACTCCAAGGCTACACGAGAAGCTTCGCATGGCGGAGTGGCATCGCAGCAAGCAGCCGCAGATGACACCGCGGTGGTGTGAGTCGAACGTTGGGATGGACCATTGCCCGAGCTGTTGCACCAGATAAGGGTGGCCAGACTGAAGAGGAAGTACGATCAGCACGAGCAAAAGAAATGAGAAGTTAAACTCGCCTGTGAGCTAAGTCGTTCAGGTTACCTCCATAAGGAACTACGGTACCTAATTTGGGATATTGATTGACATCTCAGAAGCTGAGAGCCTTGGCAAGAAAAGCAGTAGTAGAGAAGATGGGCTGCATCTGAAACAAGCGAAATTGTCAGTGTTATGGTCTGTTACATAAGATAAAGGGTGATGAACGAACGTATGATAAGCATACCAGGAGCGGTGTGTCACTTTGATGCATCTGCGTGGGGATGCTTGCAGCGGGTTGCCGCTGAAGTAAAGGGGGGAATTACTTGTTCTTTGATCTGTGTATATTTGTATCTACTTATATACCCTCCTTTCTTCCTGCTGGCCCCAGCTGTTGTCACCTAGGACGGTGAAACAAAGGATAACTAGACGAAGGTGTTTGTTGCCTCATTCAAAGGACTTGGTCCAGAAGGTCAATGAGAAAGAACATATTTTACTAGAGAATACACTGCCACATGAATAATGGACTGATAGGAATAAAAGACCCCAGAACTCGAAACACAAAAGATACTGTTCATACATGGGTAGTCGATGAACCGGTCTTTGGACATCTGAAAAGCCTGTTGTAGTGTGTTTAGATATCAGTAAAACAAGGACATCGTGGGGGATAAATCAGCTGAAAGACCCAAGCGGGACACAATCTCAACTCCTCTCCCTCTTGCCCTGTGAGAAGGGAGAAGATGGAAGAACCCCATACCACCCCCTCTCCGGAACTGTTCCCTGCTGATAGGCCAGGAGATATCGATGATGTTTGCTGTCGCTGAGTTTGGACCATGCCTCGTCCGTCGACATTCACGCAACCCTCTTCTGCAATCTCCCTCTCTCCTAGCTCTTCTTCTTCTCATCACTTCCCTCCCACCTTCATGTTCGTTCATTCCTCCCCTCCTCCACCCTATCTCCTCCCCCTCCCTCTTCCCGTCTGTCTATCCATCCCCCTCCTTGTTCCTTTGAACTTTCTCCTCTTCCACAGCATGAGGATCTCCACAACCCAAGAGCCCCCTGGCCTCGTATGACGCAATGTGGGGAGTTGGGTTCATGATGCGGTCGTGTTCCCAACGTTCTCAGCAGGGAGGATGCCGTGAGAGAGGTCTGATGCCGATGGTAGAAGAAAAAGGTCCTCCATATTGTGTTTGATATCAAGACATTGTATTTGACCTTTTTAGTGGATATATGCGCATCGATATCGATTCAAGGAGGTATAATTGGACAGATTGCCCTGCCTTGCTATGGCTCTCCTTCCAGAAAGGAATTTGTACAGAGTGTATACCCGGATTTGATGAACAAGCCCACCAAGAATCGACCCGACCCAGACTGCGAGTGAGAACCACTCTGGACAAAATTCGTCGTTCGAGAATAAGATACTGTGCAAACATTCTTGATAGACCACGCCCTGAGTACTGAGTCCTAGTATAAGACTGTGCTGGACCCGCACTTGGAAGGTAGCAAGAGCAAGGGCAGTAAACGACCTTGGCAATCATGTCAAGCAGGAGCCACACCACCTAGTCCTCAGCGCAAAGAACTTGAAATGGATCAGGTCGAACACCTCCTACCCTGCTAACTGCCCTTGGGTCCCTAGGCCGACGAAGGTGTCAAAAAGCTGCAAACAGGAATGCCTTTCAAGTAGTATCTCTGTACAAATTTGTACAAATACCAACAAGGATGCCATCCTCGCCACGACCCAAACAGGATAGCTTGGGACACTTGCTGGATGGAACCCAAAACGATCACGAGGCGGCAAGGAAGCCCGAGTGATTGGGCATCTCAGTCCGACTCTTGTGATCTTTGTAGAACCTCAGGCGAGCGACGAAGGTGTAGGCCTAGGTGGGTGAGGTGCATCTGTTGGAGGCCACTTATTGGGAGAGTGGAGGGAGGAGGGAGGAAGGAGAAAGAGAGGTCGCATGTACAATTAACAGAATTCATCTTTGTACGTCGTTGATCGAGAATTGTCGCCTGAAAGCCCCAATTTCACCTTCAGAGCAGGAATATGCGAGTCAGATGCGAATGAGACAATTTTGAAGCACAGACGCCACATGAAGACAGTACAAGCCACTCATTTCTGATGACGAAAATGTATGGATCTTGCCATCACCGTGAACCCAGAGGCCACAGACATGACACTGTCCAGTGACGAGGAGAATGCCCATCAGGAAAGCAAGCGGCTTGCTATCGATGCTGGGGCAGGAAAACGGTACCGGTAAGGACTTGTGGTTATGAAGATGGAGGATTCCGGAGGAGAACAGAATGGATATTATATGAAGAGGGATGCAGCCGCTCAACTGTCTGGTGAAGACGATCTTGCCATAAGCTAATTCAGAGCGAGAAAAGACACCGTCCACTGATGATGAGAAGCTTGCATCTAGATGAGAAGAGTGGCATGCTCAATGTGGTGCTGTCCAAACAATTCGATTCCGACAGATCATTATCCAACAAGTAGATGAGAAAAGCAGGATCAGATCTGATGAGGGTGAGGTGAGGTATAACCCGGCATGGTCCATTTCTGAACACCAGGGTCCGAGACTACTGCGACAAGAAGTCACACTGCACCCTGAGGGAACATGGCCCAAAACATCGTGGTACTGGAGTATAGACACCTGAGCTGAAGGGTGGATAGCAGAGAGACACCAATGAAGGACAACCTTCATACACAGGAGCCCATCATGCAGACCGCAGATGGCTTTGCTACCAGTATATCTAGATCAAGATCGACAGTCGACTCCCTGCTATCTTCAAATTCATGTGCCGCTGACACTGAAGGTGTCCCAAGACCCAATTGCGAACGACAGATGAATTGGCTACGTATGTTGCGAAGAGACCCCAGACAAGGCAGCAAGCATTGCTGAACCTGGGGAAAGAGGGGAGAGATGAAAGGAGCATAGGTCTCTCGACAATGGTCCAGCACTGCAGAGGGGCAGAGGACCAGAGCATGAGTGATTGGCAAGGAGTTTACAACATCCAAAGCAGCAAGAATGCCTCGATAATGAGCCACGTACACACAATGCGCTGGATGAACACAACCTAGCTGGCATACCTGCTCAGTGCTGCCCGATGTGGTTGCCCTGGCCAAAGGAGGGGATGAGGAGGTTATTTTCAGGGCGAGAGGAAGCCTGGAGCAGGATGGAATGACGGGAATCCTGAGGCAGATGGCATCACATTACGATGGAGCAATAAGAGGAGAGGGATGAAGGAAAGCGCGTGAAGGGTTCCAGAGGCACGGCTGCAAGAAAGAATGCTCAAAGATATCGCCACCTGCACTCTATCATCGAAAATTAGCATGTACGTGCATTCATGAATGTGGAATCCACTCCGAGTCACAGCTGACTATTTTTCATCATCTTCAGCTTCTTTCGCCGTTCTTGGTCTCATCAACTAAACCACTACAAACGAGATCAGTTACAGAAGACAACGATGTGACGTAGAGTTGCCACAAATGGGAACTCAAATGGTGGAGTGCGCGAGCTTGAACATCAAAGTTCGGTCTGGGGGGAGCAAATGAAATGCGTGATGAGGGGTGGTGCAAAGAACGAAATGAACTAACACATACCTGGTATGTCCCTATTTGTTCTCCCGTCACTCTAAAGACAGTTGTCTTTCGGAGTGGTCCTAAATTCCGTGACTCACGAAATATTCACGAAATATCGCTTTCAGAGACTCCTAACTCAGAACCTGATATTTGGAATTGAAGTCCGCAGACCGTCCGGCAGTAGGCTCGTGAACATCCGCTTTTGTACATCAGTTGTGATGTTGCGCGTGTCACACACCGAGACTGCCAAACCAGGTCAGAAACTGATCGAGGGCTAGCTCGACGAGTTCTGGATGGAATCACACGAAACGAAGTGATGGTGGGAGGCTGCAGGAGGCAGCAGGAGGGGAGGAAGGGGCCAAACTGGCAGGGGCACGCACCGGCATATGGTGCGAAAACTATATGGTTAGGGTCATCACCAGTAAACATATTCCTAACATACAGAAGAAAAACGTGTTTATAAAACATGACAAGAAGTGACTCGTAAGTGTATGAGTCCGACGATGAACTTAGTAATGCCTTTGATGTATTAAGGCTGCTTCAGCTCACTTAATACATATCACTTCGCGGGGTTTAATCTGAAGGTGGGTAAGGGAAGATCAAGATAAGAATAAATGAAATGCAAGAAACGAACCCTTCAGCTCATACAATTCAGTTTGCTCTGGCTTAAGCTACAGGTACAATGAGTCACAAAAAACGCGGGTTGCAAGCGGACGTACCCATTCAACAAGAAGATACACAATCTCTCGGAGGCGCTCATTGAAAGTGAGGTCCATTGGACGGCCAAGCTCACGAGCCGTTGATTGATAATATGTGTATCGATCATCCTCTGTCTTCAGCACAAAGAAAATGAAGCGAAATCCGTCCGAAAGACAGAAACGGACGACATTCAGCCTGTCGGTCGCAATGAAACTCGATTAGTCGGAACAGAAGTGAAAGAAGTGAGAGAAACTCACTTCGCGTTCGACGAAATTGCCATCGCTTGCGTGACCGCTTCCGGAACGAACGCACCCAGGCCCCCTGATATCAGCAGACGCTTGGCTTCAACCAGGAAGATTTGTCCAGCTGCAACCCGGAGCACAAATGCATTCGTGCTGTCGGGACCAACGAGGCGGCCTGGAAACCGATACAGAACAATCAGCGAAAGAGGGAAACTACTAAGAAATAAAATACCTTCATTATCATTGTCTGGATCTTTCTCGTACTCGACGACACCGTAGTCAATACTTCCGCCGAACAAGACACGATAATTCCCATTCTCGAACGCAGCGTCCTGCGGCTTCATTTCCGGAATGATAGCTAGATCGTGATTGGGATTCAGCGTCGAAATGACTTCTCCCAGGGACAGGAGGATGGCATCGAGGAGCATCCGAGCCCCGACCTCATACTGTGCAGATCAGCGAAGTGTCAAGGACGATCAACGGGCAGGTGCTTACGTTCATATTAACGCGATGATGAATCTTGTGCAGTCGAGAAGAAAGATCTTTCAGCTCTTCATCTACATGATTACCCCATTTACCCTCTTTCGCCAAATCGGCAACCTTGCTGGCCTTGAAGACGAGTCGCCCCGCCTTGACATCCAGGTTCTGGAGTTCGAGATTCGTGGCATTCGAGAAGGTCACTTTCTGGAAGGGAATGAATATGAATGGTAGTCAAGAAAATATGAGAACCTACAACTCTCTTCGTCTCTCTCAGAATGCGCTCCAATTCGTTCACATGTTTCAGAACCTCCGTCATTTCCTGCTCCGTTTCAGATATTCCGGAGAGCTCTTCCCGTAGAGAATCGAGGGAGCTCGATAGTTTTCTCATCTTGGAAACGTCTACAAAGGTATCTTGCAGACTGCGGCTGCGCTTGTGGGTCCGAGATTCAGGCATGACGGTCGAAAAGGAGATCGTTGTGAAGAAGGCCGTTCGGAACACTGACGTAAGGATGAGGCGATGAGACGACGGCGAGCGAGGGCGAGTGAGGGCGAGGGCGAGGCGAGGGCGGGGGCGAGAGAACGGCGAGCGATGGCGACGGGGCAAGGCGGTGCGAGATGAAGGGCGAGGGAGGGCGGCGGCGGCGGCGACGGCGATGGTGCGAGCAGCGAGGCAAAGGCGAACGGTGCGAGACGACGGTGGGTTGACGATGTGGGAGACGGAAGATTGGAGGTGGGAGGGAGACGACAGAGGTGGGAGTTGGAGTGATGACGCGGCCTTCCGCAATGGGGCCGAACCGGGGCCGGAGGGCCACGGACCGGACCGTAGACAGTCTAGCCACGGTCCGCCCCATTTTCCTCACGATGACGATGTCGAAGACTTGGACGTCGTGACCACCTCATCACCACCATCTCCCTCTATGTCCAATATTACCGCAGCAAATTAAGGACGCTCCCACCTGGCCCCAGTCGTATTTCTGGAATTCGTATCATCTTAGCAGTGATAGCACTGGGCAGCCAGTTCACGGAATGGAGCAAGCAGTACGGTGCGCTGTTTCTCGCATGTACGTAGCCAGGACAAATTCTTTCAGCTCACAACCTCCGTCTGCATAGACGACGTTGGTTGCACTCGTTGGCCCTGCCGCCCTGTCCACCATCGTCCCTCACTAGCTGGAAGTGACTCGTGACTCGTGCGTCCTGGTGTATCTTTTCCTCAATTGCGGGCTGATCCGATGATTTTCTAGTGACTAGGACCGACCTCTGGGACGATAGTGAAGAAGTGGGGCGGTTACAGTAGCTTGTGGTGCGTCCTATCTCGCTCTTCGCTCATCCACGATGCCGACGTTCATTCTCTGCTTAGTACCGGGCTATTCCTGGCTTGCCTCCCCCGCCCGCAGAAACCTCATCCCGAGCATCAAGGCGGCGAACCAAGGGCCTCTCCTCTTCGTGCCTGACTCAACAGGACACAATGACGGGCGAAACTATGCCTTTCCTGGCGCCTTACAAAAGACAACCACATATAAGTAGGATTCGGGCGAAACATCTGCGTAGGAGAGTAGGCCAGAGAAGATAGTTTGCGTACACTGGGGTGACTCCCCAGATTCCGGGATCCTCGTCTTCATCTGTAGGTCTTATTTATGTTTGACCCTTAGATTCTTCTTCTGACACTCTCGGATTATTGCAGTGGTTCAATGAGATAAATCCACAAGACATAGTCGCTCGTCGAGCAATTCTCGAATCTCAGTGCTCATAGATGAACCCACACCTTCATCTAAATAGCCACCTCTTTGCCGAATCGCCAAGTCTCGCAGTACATGTTGGTTTACAAGGACCGCTTGTCCGCGAAACGCGGCAGATCCAGTGTCGGGGATATAAAAGCTAACGGTCATTGGGATTTTCGGTCCCGCGAAGGCACGCGCTCACCATGTTCTTACGTCCATCGTCTTCACGGCGTTGCTAGTAGCGCACTCCGGTACGCGGCTTCCTTAACGTCGTCAACTTTCGCAAGCTAACTCAGGACTCTTCTAGTCCAAGCCGCCGTTGTAACTCTTTATTATGTCGCTGAACCTCCAATTGGAACACCTATTTCGGGCTCCGTCGAGCAAGCAGGGACAACACGAGTATCCGCCATCGGAACAGGGGAAAACGGCATGACGCGCTACGCCATTGAACAAGTCCAGAGTCGCGTCGTATACCACCAACCCCAAGAGACGGTCACTGCGTTGGACTCGCCGATAACTTTTAACTGCTCGTCATTTCTCTTCTTGTCTCTCTGGTTAGGCTAACGAGTCTTCTGATAGTTACTTTCAAGCAAGGGGCTACTGAAGGCAAAGGCACCAATGCTTTCACCGCCACCTCGGACAGGCTGGGGAACGTATGGCATGTCAATGGGATCAATAGGAGCTGCTCGTTGGATATCTCGAACACTCGTGGGCCGTGTGTGGACATTGTCGAGCAGAGGCTCGCGGCTCAGCCCACGGGGACCGCAACTACGGAAAGCCTGTCGACGACAATCCTTTCGACGTACACGGCACCGAGTCGCTCATCCCTATAGCCACCATCGAGGCACTGCCGTCTCCAACGAATGAAATTCGCTCAGGTGGGGTTGGGTTTGCTGGGTTGCTCAGGGCTTCTGCTTCTGCTGCAGTTGCGTTTCTTTTTCTTTGAAGGACTTCTCTAGGATAATGGCCCTCCCGTGAATTCGGACATTTCACATGGACTACATATTCTTCACAAAACGAACCAGGACTTCTATGTACGTCATTCATGCCTCTTTCGAATGATATCAGATTAAACGCCTGTCAGGCGTTCCGACGACCAAGGGAATCCTGAAATCTGCACTATTCTTCCGGAAATTTACCGCGAGGTGGTTATTGTTTTCTGGAGTGAGTGTCCTTGGGAAGAAATGCTCTAGGACAATTTAATACTCAGCGCCAGCAGCGAACAAAGACATTTCTTTCCTCCATCGTCCTTCTTGCACTCTGGAGACTGAACAAGGCGGAAGGCTAAAGAAGGCAGGGGCGATCTGATGTCGAGTACCGTGGCGCCGGAGAGATTTATACCAATCCTCAAAGTCCAGGAATCAATCATCTTCTCCTCATGATTCAGGATGGGCGTGGTGAGATATAAAGACATCTACCTGTAATTGTCACTGCCATCACCCCCACGCGTCCAACGGGCTCGATCAAATGAATTGTGCACGGTATATATAAGGCTCAGAAAGGACTGGGTTCATTCTCGTGTTCCCTTCCCGTGCCACAACGCCCACGACTCCGATAGCGCGAACTCAATATGTCGCCAGTCTACTCCGTCTTGCTGGGACTCCTTGCGTTCCCGTTTGGTAACTACCTTATTACCCTTTCCTTGCCGCGACTTACTGAAGAAACGAAACAGCGTACGCGGCAGTCGTGACCCTATACCACGTCGAGCAAGTTGTGGAAGGCCTTGTGAGCGCAGAGAGCGCGGTGTCCACCCTGGGGCTGTCCGCGATCGGAACAGGGGAGAACGGCATGACGCGCTATGCGATGCAATATATCAACAGTCTGGCTGTAAACTATCGAACGGACAGGACAGTAACACTTTGGAGTGAGCCAATCACCTTGAATGGTGAGTCACCTCCCCGGTCTACGAATCGAGTTGGGCGGTTTTGACTTTGTTCGCCGTAATTACAGCCAATTGGGAGGAAGGCGCCACTGAGTACCGTTTATCTAACCCCACCATGAGCACAGTGACGCTGCCTAGCGGCCAGAGGGTCTATTTTGCCGCAGTCGATAAGAAGTGCTGGTTCGACATTCCCAACCAGAATGGCTCATGTGTGGTAGTACAGCGGCTTGAGGGGTTCCCGGCAGCCGTGACCCCGACTGCGATCCGAGAGTTCACCACATCGTACACGGGACGACTCCTCCCTTGGGCGACAATCGAAGCTTTGCCAACCGCCACGGCCAGCGGCTCGCTCTCCTCGTTAGCTGGGGCGTATGGGCTCCTCGGCACTATAATCGCTGGAGCAATTGGGGCGTTGAATTCCGTATAAGTCAGGCCAGTCAAGCGTCGAATCTACGCTTAAGTAGCGAAAGACAGTATATCTAGACTTCCATCCTCGATAACTCTTATATAAAATCTTGGTAATCCCTCATAACACAGTGGTAGACAATTCTACAATCGGGCAAGCTTCCTTTTTGAGAGGGGCGTGAAGTGCGCCACAGTCAATTCCAAAAAGGTTTGGGAAAGGTTCCTGCGAGACCTTTCAAAGGCATTTTTAACCTTTCTTCGAGTCTTCTGAAGTGTCCTCTGGCCCAGAAATCCCTTGAAAGGGCCTCCATGGTTCTCCGATACGAGTACAGGAATTTAGGAATTCATCATGACTGACACCGGAAAGAACGTGCCTATTATTCTGAGTTTTTCTTTCAGACTTCAGTTCCCGGAGCCTGAATGGGTCTTCTCTCCCAAACATGAGTTTTAAACATGTCTGCAGGGCGTGCGTATTGCGTGGGTCGAGCAGCATGTATTTACCCCGCCGTGGTGCCCGAAAAGTTTGACAGTTCTTTCATAACTAAATTTGTGTGAGCCGTCATTTCAGTTTCATGCTTCGAAATGGCGTTGGTCAACTGTTGTGTCTATGTGCTTTCTTTTCCTCCCTTTGCGATTACCACCAACTGTTGGTTGATAACCCCATTCTTGTCCATCGTAGTCGCTCTCCTGCTCAATGCCTTGCAATGCGGCAAGTACCTCATTCCGTCACCCTCGCCCCTCGCTCATCTTGTATCTAATTGAACTTATTGAATAGCGAACGGAGCGGTCGTGACTTCTTACCAGGTTCAAGACGAGCTGGAAGCTACTTTGAGCATAGAAGAAGAGGCAACTACCTTATGGCTGTCTGCGGTCAGTCTAGGGGATATTGATGCGCTTGGCGATGAATTTACACCTTATCTTATCTTCCTTGGTCCACGAACTTTCCCACAATTGATGTTGATTCAATTTGCGCTGTCCCTCGTCATGCTGCCCCCAACTCAAATTCCGCCACGGACCCACTGAATTCCTATGCGACTTACCAGGCCATATATGCAATAAACTACTAACACCTCTCTTTCCAGTGCTACGCAAACTCTTTGGACCCGACGGAACCTACACGAACCCTTTCTTCCCGCCTTCGTACGTCTCAGGGCCACGCCGTTCTTGTGTAACCTCCTTGCCGAGTGCTCTGGAACACCAACCGTTTGTTCTTGTCCCATTGATTAGCGCCCAATCCCTGAACCACCCACATGGCCGCTCCATTTGTCTCCCTTCTCAATGGCGTGATCAACCCCAAGATTGAGGCAAGCTCGTTCTCTGTTGTCACAAATGTCCAAAACAACAATGGGGTGGCCCATGGTGAGTTTCAGCCCGCAATTAACCAAAAAATTTCCACGTTAATGTGTCTGTAGGAATGGACCTGCTCCGCAGGCATTGTTGCCTCGGAGCCCGCCTCGATTCAAATGAGCGATTTGATCCCCCTCGGTGCGACGAAGCTACGCGCGTAGAGCTTTCACGAGAGCTTATGGATTGGATTATGAGCGAAGATGACTGCGCATCGATGCTGGTGCTCTATGGGTCGGCAGGATCTGGAAAGTCCGCCCTTGAGCAACTGGTGGCGGAAAGGTGCAAAAAGGAAGGGCAATTAGCAGCGAGTTTCTTCTTCTCTCGAACTTCTCCCAACGCTCTACGAAGTGACGGAAACACACTGATCCCAACGCTCGTGTACCAACTCCTACAAGTCTTCCCATGGCTCAAAGAAAGTGTCGTGAAGGCAATTGAAGACGATCCTGGCATTCTTGAGCTATCCCGCAGCGCTCTGATGGAGGAACTCTTTGTGAAGCATTTCCTATCCCCTCTGAATCAATATCCGGGATACGGCATCCACCCTAGATTGATAGCCATTGACGGTCTCGACGAATGCAGCGGCCAGGACATCCAACGCGATCTGCTCTCCATCCTGGTTTCTTCGATCTCTCAACTTCGATACCCATTTCGATTCTTCCTTACCTTTCGTCCCGAGCCCCATCTTATGCAAGTGGTTGACCATCATCCAGGTTTCCAGAGCCCTCGCCTACGCCGCCTCGATCTCAGTGAAGACCCGAATGTGCATGATGACATTCGCACCTTCCTGGAACACGAATTCATCGGTATTCGAAAGACTCATCCGCTAAGTCGCTATATCCCACATTCTTGGCCTTCATCGGACTTCATTTCTGTCCTTGTCAAAAATGCCTCGGGCCAATTCATCTACGCCGATACCGTCATAAGATTTGTCAGATCACCCAAACACCGACCAGATGATCGACTGAATATCATCCTTGGATTAGAAATTGCGCGAGGAAATGAAAACCCCTTCACCCAACTTGACGCTGTATATCACTACATCTTTTCCTGCGTAAAAGACCTGGATACTGTGTGGCGCATCCTTGGGGTGATCGAACTCTTGGGGCAATGGAAGATTTCAGGAATCAATCATGCTGACGCCGACATTTCGCCTTCTACATTCACAAGTCCTACGTCTCTCCAAAATGTTTTCATGGTTCGCCCTGGCGAGATTGAGGTGGCCTTGAGCGAGTTGACATCTGTCGTCACTTGCCCCTCTCCAGATCTTCCGATCAAGGTCATTCATGCTTCACTTTTTGACTTTCTCCTCAATCCAACTCGGTCTGGCCCATATGCCCTTGATGTTTCCCTTGCACATGAAACCATTGCGCAGTGGAGATGGATTCAAATTAGCACCCAGGGCAACGGTAGCTTCTTAGCCAATTCCTGTGATCTGTAGTCTGACCATTATTTGATGATGCAGAAAAGAATCAAAAGCTGAAATTCATAAAGCAATTTCTATTTCATGGGCGATACGCGAGACTCTCGGACAAACAGCGGCAATTGGTCGGAAATGCTGCATTAGTTTTAGTCGATGCCATTGGCCATGATGACTGGTTGGAATATGAGCATGTTCAGCAGTATGACGTCTATTTCCGGGACCTCAGCCTTGTGTTCCAAAGAACGGTAAAATGTCTCGTTTTCTTGTGTTTAATATCATCGTTCTGACACATCCAATGCAGGAATTTCATCACCGAGAGGAGTCGCTCGAGTTTATTAGCGCAATAGGAGCAAAATTGAAATCCATGAGGTGTAACCACACTGATACCATTTCAAGAATCTTCTGGACCAAATTTGAAGCCCTCCAATGCAGTAAGGACGATGTGAATTCAATTATCTTTCAGTATAGTGCCAAGACACCTAATCGCTCTTATTCAGTGCGTAGTCTCGTCACAAGGTGGTGAAAAGGGTCTCCGCTCCCTGAACAATCGGACTGCGCAAGCCATGAGAAGTCTAGGAGCAAGATTTAAACTTCAGGCGCGGAATCATTCACAGACAGCCGTTGAACAAGGGAAAGAGGCAAGTCTGATCCTCGAACTCTCATGATACGCTTACCGAACCTTTCTAAGCTTGCAGGGGATACAACATCTATACCCGGCCGGACTCAATGGGCAATACGTGTTGCCAGGCTCCTGGTGTGGACGCAAGCAGCACAGAACAATTCTCGCGACTTCGATCCACAGTGTCTGGCGGTATTGAAGCAGTGTCTTCTCTTCGCATTCGAGTCTCTTGACGCTCATTGGGTAATCCATACTTCGGATGCTGCCGTTGTCCTCTTCATCGCGACGCTTCTCCCCCACTGCGCTCCAGGACTCAAAGACCCGGTCCTTGAGATTGATAGGGATCTCTTCTTGAAAGTTCAGGCGACGAGGTCCAGTTCCTCAGCAAGATCGCTTTTCTTACAGGAAAATCCGCCTGCCTTACAACAATTTCCGAAGATCATGGAAAATTATCATCAAGAAGCGCGTGCTTATCTTGAAGTGAGTCGTTTTCGTCTCCATTGCTGTCTCTGGCACTGATTAATTCTTTAAAAGAGGATGAAGAGCCGAATTGGCGCTGGAAGTCTGTAACACAAAATTTAGTCCGTTTCAGCTTCTTTGGCTCGAAGAATCAAGGAGGAATAAACCAGTCGAGTTCATGCCTTCGTTGTAACGCTTATGCCTACCCACCTCTAACGCTTGGTTTTTGAAAGAGCCGTCGGAGCCTGCATGCACAACCCTAGATAGGGGCTTGCACTCATTTTGTTTGTTGATTTAGAAGGATGCTCCCATCCGCAAATAAACACTTCTCTTTTCTCCGCTTTTGGGCTTCACCTTCGACATATATATTGTCCTCAATCTCGTCTTTCGGAATTTCTCGCAACTACGGCAACCAATTATCCCTCCATGCGTCCCCGTATACATGGTACTCCTCTTGGCCGCCTTCCGATATGTCCCGAAACAGCATTCGCGATGATAAACATCGGGTAGCCAAAAGCACGATCGACCGCAAACCATTGGCTTTCTTCCTTCCCCCTCTCGTAGCCCCGCAGAATGGCTCACAGAACGTATGGGGCCGTTTCATGGTTTGAGCGCCTTCGAACGGTGCTCATTCTTCTACCCCTTCGTATGTCCTCGTTCTTCGACAAGAATTCGGTCCAACATATCTGACATCTACTATCTGACATCTACGTCTTTTTTTTCAGCCTTCATAACCATATCGCGCCTCCTCCTTTCCCCATTTCTATCGTCAGAGAGACACAAAACATGGCGCCGCGTCCTTACCGATGCATCCTTCCGGTACATTTCATCATCGATGCGCGTGAACGAGATGCAGAGCGTCATGGGGACAACACGGAAGGTTTATGAGGGTTGGGCGAAGAAGAACGGCGTGGAGGCCAGGATTGACGAGCTCGGTGATGATGCTCGTCTCCTTTGGTTCACAGAGAGAAGAACGGACAAGGTCCTACTTTATATTCATGGTACGTTGACCTTGACTCAGTGCGGGTTCTGAGACTGATCTTGCGATTCCAGGTGGAACATACTGTCTACCTCTCCAAGATTTCGCGGCGACATTCTGGAAGGACACAATCGCCAACATCGAGAAGACAACCGGATCTAAGGTTGGCCTGGTCGCATTGAATTATTGTAAGGTCCTCTTTTTCCAACGATGAATATCCGACTAAGGTCCCTACTAGCTCTCATCCCAGAAGCCTATTTCCCAACCCAACTCACCCAACTCGTCAGAGCCATCCACCACCTCTTCCAGCAAGGTGTCCATCCCTCGAACATCCACCTCGCAGGCGAGTCAGCCGGCGGAGCCCTTGTTCTGCAGCTCCTCTCGCACATCCTCCATCCTGTGCCCAACGTCCCACCGATCGCGGCCAAGTTTGGTAGCGCGTGCATCCTGTCACCTTGGGTCTCACTGGACGGCAAGACGGGATCGCATCTCCTCAACTCGAACAACGATGTCCTGCCGGCTTATACTTGGGCATACCTCGGCGAGCAGAGTACACCATCGTTCGAGGTTACGGGGCTTGGTGCGGAGGGTGCGAGGCCGTACCTAGAGGCTCTGAAGGCCCCTGAAGACTGGTGGTATGGGCTTAGTGGTGTTGTTAAACGCATCTTCGTCAGTGTCGGCGAGTACGAGTGCCTGCGGGACGATGTGGTGGAGGTTGCTCGGAAGTTGGGCAAAGACGACTTCGTGACGACGGTCGTTCAGATGAAGGGCGTTCATAACGACCAGTACTTGGATGTTATGGCGGGTGAGAAGCGCCCCGGAGAGTTGACTCTGAAGATTACGGAGTGGTTGGAGAAGAATTTGGCGTAGAGACGATTGGATGACGCGCCCCTACTCTTTTCCTTTTCTGCGCTCGAGCATTTTTTTCGCTTTCAAATTCTAGATCCGCTGCCTTAAGTCGGCTTGCTCTCGATGCTTGCTCGATGCTCGATTAGCGCTTTAGAGACCGTTACCTGGACCAACCGCGGTGGAAAATTGCTGACACCCATAAGGTTACTATAATTCCACCTTGAGCTGCCCGCGTGTCTGGTTGTGAGCATAATCGCGGAGGGAGTCGAGTGCGAGCGGTATGTGCGCAAAGTCACCAAAGGTCGCCAACTACTTCGCGCTTGTCACGCGCACGTGCTTTGTGACGTAACTAGAATCCAATTTTAACGTTCAACTTTTATGGCCTATTACGTAATGAAGCATGAGTGCAGGGTTAGGGTGCGGTCTATGCATCAGCGGTGGCAGGCTGGGTGGAGTTTCACGCTCTCACCGTGACTGTCATCCACCGCAAGTCGCTAGAGCTCGTCAGAGCGGCTTGCCTTTCTTTTCTTTATAAACCTGTCTACTACCCACTATACCAAAACTTCCATCTACACTCATCCTCGTTTCAACAACACAACTGTCAACCAGCATGCCACGAATCACCCAAGACCCAAACCTGGCAGAGTCACCAGACTTCGACAGCGTCGAGTTCCAGGCCGTCTACGCACCCTTGGCCACAGAGGCAAACCCTGTCGAGAACATCATAGGCACGCTCAAGGCCGCCTGGACACGCGACAACGACGCAAAAAAGGCAGCCTGGGAGGCCCAAGTCGAGCAAGACAAGGCAGCAGAAGAAGCGACCGAACAAGAGCGCCAGGCAGCAGTAGAGGTGGAGGAGGCTATGAAGGAGAAGGAACTTCAAGAGACAGAAGAGGCGAACCAACGCGAAAAGGAGAAGAGGAAGCCCAAGGTCCAGAACTTCACAGTCAACAAAGTCGTCGACAGTGTCTCCGACACCTGCCCATCTCTGTACGCCATCCACAAGCTCTGCCAAGGCGAGTACGTCAAGCTCTACTACTTCACACCAGAAGCATGCTCTGAAGCAGAAAGAGCGGAACAAACTGCAGCTAAGGACAACATCACCTTCACGTTGGTTGGGGACCGGCTCTTCATGAAGCTGGCAGCCGCATACAAGGCGGCGAAGAAGGTCATCCGGGATGAAGACCTAACCTTTAAACAGTTAATGCTCACCAAGAACGACATGCTTCGCCACATGGGCCAGGAGGAATGGCCAGAGCAGCACGTCGTAGCCCTCGGCGTATTCTTCTTCAAGCTGGAGAGCCATCGCCTGCGAAAGCAAGACGGAGGTGACACTGTTGTGCTGTGCTACCAGTTGCAGGTCCGTCGTGAGTGGACGGAGGCCCTCAAAGGTACCAGCGACGAGGACGTCTTTGACATCAGCATCATCAACGACCTATGGCTTAACCAGATGTACACCGAGCACCTCAACGCTCGACATAGCCAAGGCGTTTTACAGTAAGTAACCCAATACCAGGTCCTTTCGAATCGCACACTTACAAGCCCCATTTACATGCCCTCCCAATAAAAATCGACAGTACCGACTGCATCGTCATACATCGCAATCTCGCTTCGCCTACGCATCGCACCACCTGCATCGCATCGTATGTTTCATTTCACCCGCATCCCGCATCCCGCATCATTCTGCATCATACCATGTCATCGCATCACATCACACTGCATGAGCATCACCGTCCTCTCCTACCCGCTACGACATCAATACCTACAACCCCATACTTCAATTCTGAACACTTACGCATCTATGACACTCCTCACACCACCCATGTGCCCTCATGTCGCGTCACACATACCTGTCCAAATATTACACATAATGACCTATGCTCGTGTATCTTACCCATAAATACGTTACTCAAAAAAATTACCTACAATTATGGCATCCTAACTACTAATGTCCTCTGCATCATCATCTCGCTCCGCATCTTGCACATCCATTAGGCTCGAGGAACAGCTCGCCAGAGCATCAATGAACACCCCCAGAGCGAAGCGTTACCGTTCACCCTCGCCGCCACC